CCACCACAGAGAGGAGCCCAAAAACCCAAAAAAAAAAAAAAAAAAATTACGCGCTAGCGATTGAGTAATTAAAAAAAAAGAATGAATGCCAAACAGTATGATCTCAACTAGCTTTAAGGGAGAGAAATGTATCAACATGTTAACACTGGTTATCTCTGGCTGGTGAGCATACACTCTTCTGTATATTTAAGAACAGAAAACAATTAAGTATTTCATTTAAAGATAAAAATGAAACATAAACAAGTACAATTCTATACATCCCAAATTCTAAAACTATTTCAGAGGAATCCAGTAGCAATGCCTCACCTTCTGCTGGCATATTTCTGAGGAGATGAGAGGTAGAAAAAGACCCAACTGCTTTAATTTTTTTCAAGTGCAAGAAACTGCTTAAAAAAAAAAATGCTTGTACTGCACCGTAAAGATAATATACACAGCCCATCCCCAAAGAGTCTCATTACCTTGCTAGATGCAGATGGAGAAGGATATTATAAGGGTATTGTCTTTATTCCATACACATCTCAAATTTTAACACCCAGATGTAAGCATACTCTCAGACTTTCTCCAACCCATGGTAGCCCCTGGTGGACTCCAGTTTTTGCAAGTGGTTTGAAACTCCACATGGCCCTCGAGCTTATCTGAACTACTTTTCAAAGATAACACAGATAAATACGCTGTGGTTAAATATATTTAAAACAAATAAACAAAACAGTTGCTGAATTCAGATCAGTTTTTGGTCTCTGCATACTTTCTCAAACAGATACTAAAAGTAAAACCGCTCAAGTAGAAGTCCATGATGACTTGACAACCATTCTTGAAAAGGTAGGAATCCAAGACTCAGGAGTACTTCTACCTTACTAACATTCCAGCTAAACAAGGTTAGGAGTTTTTGTTACCTCTTAACATTAAGCATAAAGGAACTGGCAAACTACCACAGGAAAGATTTAAGATTCAACTCTTGTTCCTCTGAGTAGCATTATATTTAAACATTCCAGAAAAACAAGCTTCTTACAAAAAAAAATATTGTTTGTGTGTATGTATTGTTAACCTCTCTGGTAACACATTTCAGCATTCAGAATCCTAGATGTAAGATCTTCCTAACCTCCAATCTGGATTTATTTTCTGTTATAATTTTTAAGCCTATCTAGTGGTACTCCTACCATTAAAAATGGGAATCCACTAACACTCACTGAATAAAAACAGGAACTATTTATGAAGTGTACCATATATTTATGATTGTTAGAAAACTGCTACCGAAACACTTTTATGCAGGTTCCGTCAACAATTTGTTTACATTAAAAAAAAAACCCTTAAAATCCAAATATATGTCAAAGGGAAATACATAAGGAAAGTTTAAAGATTTTGTAAAATACATATACACACTAGAAAACAACAATTAATTTCCAGATTTTTATTCTAACTTAGAAAATCTCAGTTGAACAAAGACCTTAACTTACAGGTTTTGTTGCTTTCTTCCGAATTTATCTTAAATATTCCAAAAAACCTCAAACATTGAGGTCATTATTCTGTCTTTGATACTGCCAACAAACGAGATGTTGAGGGACAACACAATAGCTCACTCCCAAAAGGTTACCTAAAAAGATCTGCAAAGGGGCCTCAAATTAAACCTTAAACTGATCTTGGTTCTTTCTATCCTCTTGCTCCTGTTTCCTCTCAGCCTCCAAAACCTGCTCTTGCTCCACTCTTCCCTATCTTAGCTGATAAAACCACAGACGGTACAGTCAACAAAATCAGGATCTGTAGGTCATGCTCACCTACTTCCTTTCCCTGAACCCCTAGGTCAAACACCAACTTCTATGGCTATCTATTCTCTCTTGTCCAATTCTACAGCTAATTAATTCAGACCTTCCTTCATTCTCATTCACTTGACCTACTGCCATAGCTCACCCAGCATTCTTACCCCAATCTATTCTTCACACAAAAAACAGAATTCTCTTTGTAAAACACAGAATTTATGTTTAAAACTCTTTAATGTAACTCCACTATATAAAGAACAAACCTCTTTTAAAGCTTACTTCTGTGGACCATTCCAGACTCATCTGCTTGCCATGTTCCCTCATATATAAAACTAACTTACCAACTTACTTCACCCCATATGTTCATGTGCTGCTCTCAAACTTCAATGCTCTTATTCATTACCTTTTTGGTTTGAAAATACACATTCTTTAAAACTCAGCTCAGGTAACTCCTCTCCTATGAAACTTGCCCTGACTCTCACAAAATTATTTTAACTCTTCTTCTGTCATATCACTTATCACACTACAGAATAATAATTTGTTTGCAAGTCTGTCATTTTTATTTGACTGTGAGCTTCGTGCGGGCTACGACTGCGTCTTAATCATCTTTATTCTCAAGACGTATCATAGTACCTACTACTAGTAGGAACCAAAATGGGTGTTGAATTGAATCCTTAATATGCCTTAATAACAATCATGCATTTTTTTCCTCAATCATTTTTTTAATGATTTTTTATTGTGGTAAAATACAAATAACATACCTGTGTCTCTGCATCTAAAGTAAGTCTCCTATAGACTGCGCAGTTAGAATATTTTTTTTAATCCATTCTGCCATCTCTGTCTTTTGGAGTTTAATCCATTTAAAATAATTACTGAGAAGGAAAAACTTCCATAATTTTGCTATTTGTTTTCCATATGCCATACAGCCTTTTTTCCCCCTCATTTCCTACATTACTGTCTCTTTTGTATTTAGTTGCTCTTTTGTAGTGAAATGTTTTAATTTCCTTCTCATTTCCTTTATGCTATAACTGTTTTCTTTGTGGTCACCACAGGGATTACATTTAACTTCCTAAAGTTATAAGAATCTAATTTGAATTTATACCAGCTTAACTTCAACAACGTACAAAAACTCTACTTGTTTACAGCTCCATCCCCACCCCTTTCAAGTTACTGATGTCACAAAATTACATCTTTGTACATGGTATGCCCCAAAACACAAGCTAATAACTGTTTTTTAAAAATCCATCAGTCTCTTAAATTATGTAGAAAATAAGATGTGGAGTTACAAACTGTTGTTAAAATAATGCTTTCTTTTATAATTGCCCTTGTATTTGCCTTTACTGAGATTTTATTTCTTCATATGGCTTCGGGTTACTGTCTAATATCCTTTCATTTCAACCTGCAGGACTCCCTTTTGGGATTCTTACAAGGCACGTCCAGTGGCAACAAACTCCCTCAGCTTTTGTCTGGGAATGTCTTAATTTCTCCCTCATTTTTGAAGCACAGTTTTGCTACATATATGATTCTTGGTTGACAGGGGTTTTTTTGGGGTTTTTTTGCCATACGCAGGCCTCTCACTGTTGTGGCCTCTCCCATTGCTGAGCACAGGCTCTGGACGCGCAGGCTCAGCGGCCAAGGCTCACGGGCCCAGCCGCTCCGCAGCATGTGGGATCTTCCAGGACCAGGGCACGAACCCGTGTACCCTTTATCGGCAGGTGGACTCTCAACCACTGCGCCACCAGGGAAGCCCCTTTTTTGTTTTTTGTTTCTTCCTTTTTAGCACTTTGAAGATATCAGCCCACTATCTTCTGGCCTCCAAAGTTTTTGATGAGAAATCTGTTGAAAATCTTAAAAGGATCTCTTATAAGTGACAAGTCGCTTCTCTCTTGCTGCTTTCAAGATTCTCTTTGTCTTTTGAAAGTCTGATTATAATGTATCACAATGTGGGGGTGAGTTCATCCTATATGGAATTCATTCTGCTTTTTGGATGTTTATATCTTTCATCAAATCTGGGGAGTTTCTAGCCATTGTTTCTTCAAATAACCTCTCTGCCCCTTTCTCTCCTTCTGCCTTCTCTTTCTAGGATTCTCACAATGTGTACGGTGGTCCACTTGATGATGCCCCACAGGTCCCTTAGGCTTTCTTCATTTTTCTTCAGTCTTTTTTCTTTCTGTTTCTCAGACTTGATAATTCCCATTGTCCTATCTTCCAGTTCACTGGTTCTTTCTTCTGCCTCGTTAAATCTCTCTTTGAATTCCCCTATGAATCTTTCATTTAAGTTCTTACACTTTTCAGCTTTGGAATTTGTTTTTAGTTTCTTTTTAGGTGATCTATGTCTTCATTGATATTTCCATTTTGTTCACACATCATTTTCTTGACTTTCTACACATCTTCATTTAGTTCTTTGAGAATCTTTAAGACAACTGTTTTAGAGTCATTGTCTAGTAGATTGTCATCTGGTTTTTCTCAGGTACATTTACTTGTTGGTTTATTTTTTTTTCCTTTGAATGGGCCATACTTTCCTATTTCGCTGTTTACCTTGTGATTTTTCTGTTGAAAACTGGACATTTGAATCTAATCATGCCA